TACACACATTTACTGCACAGTGATTTTTTTCATTTATCTTTTCCAAACCCTGACGCTAAATGACTGGTAAAATGCAAGTGTAAGATGTACTCCGTTGTTGAGTTCATCAATGACAAGTCGGTCGACGTCGTAGCCAAGGCTTTGTTCTATGATAAGAACTGCGTTATGTGGCTGAAAAATGACAGACGAAGAAACATTCTTCTCGAAAGGAATGAGCCACCGCCGAGTGGGACGAAATTATATCCTGTCAGGATTTTAAAAGACAACCTGACTCTGGATGCGGCCCGGCGGCTGGTACATAGGGCCGAGGACACGTCGGACCTATCCTTTTCAGAGCCCACGGAGTTGGGTCGAGGCTTTAGAAAGAAGTAGGTTTTACTTGTAAATGAAATTTTTTTTGTAGATTTGTCCGCAGATTAACCTCTGATTCGGAGGATGATGAGGACGAAAACATAGCGGAACGACAGCCTGTAAGGCCGCTTGCTGGCTGGCCGTCGCCACCACCCATACTTCAGTAAATTGCAGTAAGTCTGATGGTTTGTAGGCCAAGACTTGAAGAAAACATACCTACTTCCTCGGCCGGATGGGGCAGGTTTTCACCTTCAGTAGTCCCCTCACTTCAGTAAGCAGGTTATATTTATTATCCATTTCAGACTGCAAACGGAAAAGGATACTTCTGTGGCGCAGAGTGAAATATTAAAATCAATACAAAGAGAATTGAAATCTGTGCGGTAAGGGCATGTTGTATACCGTTGGAGTAGATTTGTTTAGTAAAAAATTAGACAAATTAGTCCATAATCAGACGGTCCATCATGAGGAATTTCGACAACATTGCGCCCTCATGGTTGAAAAACTTGGGCAAATACATGCCTCCACCGTCCTTGTCGGTCAAAGGCCTCCCGCACTGCCCTTACCGCTATGCACGAAGGACGCCTACGAAGACTTCGAAGGGAAGCTAAACCGTGATGCCGATTTTCGAGAAGAAGTGGTATACAAATATGCAGCTTTATTTACTCTCCACGAGTTATAGATGAAACAACTTGTTTCAGTTGGCGGGCGTAACAACAAAGAGTTTGTGAGGAATATCCTCAGTAAATTGCTAGGACCACCCCTTTGCCGTGACTACTGTTGGAGTGGCTCAGTGGGAAAACAATCCTTTGTCGGTAGTCCATTATATGCACTCCTATGTGGTAAGCTTTCCTCATTTGTTAACACTTCAGATGCCATTCGCTTGAACCCTATCTTTGGTGATTGCGGCCACGAAATGGTTCGCAAGACTGTCATTGATTGGTTTCATGGATCGAGGGACCGGTATGGCGGACGGGCTAAACGACAGAAGGCAATTGGAGGGACTAGCGACGATACACGTTGCCCCACACTACATCCATCTGAAGAGACGGTAATTACCATTATATGAAATTTACATATTTACGGTTAATTATTCATGCTGCTACTGTGAACTTAATTAGTGTGAAAATTGTCATTTAAATTTTAAAGTATTACTTCCCTTCCGTCGACCATGTGTCTTCCAAACAATTGTTTTTCTTCAATTATAGGAACCAGCCGTCGATGCGGGGACTTCTCGAACGCCCAACTGAATGGCATAACATTTGTTGAAGTCCATGTATATACTGGCACTGACATTTATTATGATTGTACATATTTTCCGATTCCTTTTTCGTTTATACAATAAATAACTCACTCACATGAATTTGCGTCGCGTGTATTTGGTATTGGCTGCTGATTAGTGGGTCCATGTACGGCGGGGTCACTGTGAGGACTATGTAATACCGTAGTACTCTGCGTACGCAGGATGGGTTTCGACGTGTAACATGTGGGAACAGTGAGGCACTGCGCCTCAGGGGACTCGGTATACAGGACGATATTTTAAAGTGGTGCCAAAAGTGGGCTGGGATGTGGCGTCCCCTGCGCATTTTTTTTCGCTGGCGGGGCTAGGCGGGGCTATCGAGTTGCATGCCCCGCCACAGCCCCCTCCACAGCCCCGCCTAGCCCCCTCATAGCCCCCTCTAGCCCCGCCATTATTGAGGGGGCCAGGCGGGGCTAGGCGGGGCTGGTGCTGGCAGGGTCATTATCTCTTGTTGGAGAGCGCACCAGTTGGGACCAATTAGAATAATTGACAATATCTTGAAAGGGCTGGAATCTGGGTGGGCAGCTATTGGAAACCCAGTCAATTTCAGGAAGGTTAAAATCCCAAGTGACTATTTTAACATCGAAAGCAGCTTCCGAAATTAATTTAAAGATTTCACAGAGTTGAGAATCATCACTGGCTAAAGAATTTGGGGGATTGTAGATACAGCCAATAATTGCCTTTCTTTGCGGCGAGAGAATAACAGATGCTAAGCAGAAGTTTCCCGTGAATGAGGAAACATCCAAGTAATAGGGAGAGTGCTTTAGGTAGGATTTAAGATAAAGAAGACAACCACCCCCACGCCTAGTCGTGCGGTCTTGGCGGTAAAAATCGAAGTCATCTATGAGAAGGGCAGAGTCAGGAATTAGAGAATGTGTCCAAGATTCTGTTACACATATAATATCAGGCGTCATTTCCAGAGCAATGGCTCTGATTTGGGCCATCTTGTTTATAACAGATCTGGCATTCAATAATATAATATCTAATGTGTTTGGAACGGCAATGCTATTTTCGACGCTATTTTAAAAAAATTTGGAGGTGGATATGTAAGCTGTGAATTAATGACACTTGGAAAATAAGAACCGGTTAATTTAGAGTTATTGACGTACGGGGAGTCAGCAGGAGAAGGCTGAGTATGCGACCTAAAGGAGGTGGGGATATAGTTTTCAAACATTGGAATGCTAGGGGAGTTAGAACATGGATAGACTTGTTGGTAGTTAAATAATGGAGGAAGGGGAGGAGGAGGGAGGCTAGAAGGAAAGTAGGGGCTAATGGGTGAGGGTAGGCCACTAAAAGAATGAAATAGTGGGAAACCAGGTCTAGATTGGAAGTCAAAGGAGATAGGTTGACGTACCTGAGAGCAATTGGCCTTAAGTGGTGGGAAGCCTGAACTAGGTTGGGGCATAAATGATTTAGGGCTATTCATGTATGAATTATTTGCTGGATATATAGTAGGGCTTTGATAAGTAACCGGTACGCAGGACAGAGAATTATTCGGGGATATAATTGGAGCTGCGGGGTTTGTAGACGTGCTGGGCTGAACAGACTTGTTAGATCTAAGAGAAGGTAAAAGAGGCTTTCCCAGCTTCGTTGCTAGTTCCTTAAGTATCAGACTGGGAATCCCGTCGGCTTTCGTCTTTTTAGACTGTACAGTGGTACATGGTTTTGTCCTAGGATGTTTTTTCGTTCACTGAGGTCCCATTTGTTTGACGTTTTCT